TGAGATGGACACATGATTATGTGTACATTGACTCCAAATAATAATAATAATCAGCAGCAGCATGCTTGGGGGAAAATGCCATTTTAAGGCTAGTTTACACTGAAAAATTGCTTTGCATTCTCATGAAACACAGCACTCAGTTCATTTGGTGGCTTATCTGAATTGTTGGCAAGGCAACTTAAGACACATTGCTCATGTCTCTGTTCTGGATCTTGTGACAAAACTGTGGAAAAACATAAGTTTGGGCTATAAAAGAAGCCAGGAATTATTCTTGCTTACCAAATTTTCATTGACAATGCCATCGCTTGCAGCAAAGAATGCCAAGATATGTGAAATGAAATACTTCTCTTCCTGCTTTAAGGATTCCCAGTGCTGGATATCTTTGGAAAGATCCACCTAAAAGTACAAAGCAGCCAATGAGAACAAAGTAATGTGTGGATCTGAAATACATTTGACAACTAGTCAGCCCTCCGTTTTCGCAGGGGATTCATTTCGGACCCACCCCCCTGCAAAAACAGACTCGCCAATATACAAGCCCCATAGGCTTGAATGGGGCATGCCCCATTATCCAAACAGAGGTCGTCCCTTCGTGAATATTCAAAACCGCAGATCTCATGTCCACAAGAACCAAGGTACGACTGTATTGCACACTTCTCCCTATGTCCACCCAACACCTAAGCAAAGGTGGAGACAAGCACATCTCACCTCTTCAGCTGTCCAAAAGGAAGCCTCTGCTTTCTTGTACATTTGCCAGATGTCATGGTACTGAATGGGAAAGATAACAAAGCGGTGGGGATTTTCCTGAAGGAGAGGTTCATCTTGAACATTGCTTGAAGATTTCTTCACTCCTTTAGAGGTATCCTAAAGCAGCGGGGAGGGGAAGGGAGGGACAAGTGAATATATTGACCCACTTTTAAAAAGCCTGGTTATACCATAAAGACAAAAATATTTTTAACAAAAGTATTAAATGAGACTAGGATCAAAAATAGAAGTGCCTAAAATCTTTCAGAAACAAAAAGGGAATAGAAACAAATTCCACCTCTAGGGTTCTATTTTAAAATTTTTGCAACCTAAAAGGAAACACATATTGACCTAAGCGGACTGATTTAGGAATTGAATACATGAATGCACATGAGATTTGTTGAGCAACAGGAAGACAGAGAACCAATGTAAGCAATGTAAAGAAGCAATAATCTGAAAGAAGGAAAAGAAATAATTTTGCAGTAGATAAAGGATGAACACTGAAAAGCAAACTATGGGGGGGTTGCAGACTGCCAGAAATAAATGCAAATTGAGTCCACTTTTAGGGTTAGGGTTAGTGCTAGGGAATCATGGGAATTGTTTTTTGGGTTGTTTTTTTTCCTGAGACATTGAGCCTTCTCTGTCAGAGATCTCTGGTGTCACAATAAAATACAGTTCCCATGATTCCCTACCTTAATCCTAACCCTAAAAGTGGACTCAATTTGCACTATTTCTAGCAGTCTGCAATCCCCCCCCCCCAAGAGAATTTGCCCCTATATTGCAAACAATGGCCTGTTAGGCTTGCAGCTTATGGTTTAGTAAAAAGTATGGTTCAGGGTGCATTTTCCCTTGCAGACTTTATTTTGTTGGAGAATGGGTCAAAGAAAAGTTCTCCCTGCATCTGGATGTTACAAGGGAGGTGGAGGAATTATATCCCCATGGCAAAAGATAAAGACATTCCATCTCATCTGGGCACCTGGTAAAGAATTCCGTAATTGGTATGTAAATGTTTTCCCTTTGCTTGGCCCAGACCCTTTAGGTTAGGGGACATGATGTTTCTAGAAGCTTCTGTAGAAGGAAAAAGATGTGTAAGATGCTGTCAAAGGTTTTTGCTTCCCAGCCAACTGCAACTCTGCATGGCCAGTGCATATGCAAGATTAGTTTTTCTTCTTACATGCCTATGTGTATGAAGCTAAAGTGTATACATATGCCTTGTCTTTCTTTTATTCTACTTGTTTAAATAAAACTGCTTTTCTCGAGAACAAGACTGTGTGGTCATGTCCCCTGCCTCATACTCCAAACCACCAAAGCACCCAAACCAGAATACTTGCACTTTGAGTGCTACATGGCTATATTTACACATAATACTAAAGCATGGTTAAAACAATCCTCCTCATACTCATCTGGAAGGAGAGTTTAGTGCCATTTTTAACTTTTTTAAACTTAGCACTAGATTCAACCCAGGGGTCTCCATTTAGAACAAACCCTGGTTAGGTTTAGGTCAGCTTCATAACTTATAGCCTGAAATATGCTTGTTTTATTTACCCAACAATGACTCTGGAATCTGAAGTCTAAAACATCTGGGGGCCCAAAGGCTGAGAGCCACTGTGTTAAAAATCTACAATGAAGCTGTGGATTACCTATTGAATGTCTTGTGTAAACAGCAAAAGGCTGGCAAATCATAACAGAAGACAAAGAGATTGGGCAGGTGGAACAGAGAACTGATCAAAACCAAAAGCAATTAGCATGTTGCACAAGAGGCAAAAAAAGGAGACAGAAATACTTGATGGCCCAAGGGGTGGAATATGTTAGCTAATACAAAATGGGAACTTAGAGGAATAAATTATTCCATTGCCTCTTCCAAGACAGGAGCTGCCATTTTGTTCTTTCCCCACCCCAGCCATTCCTTCAGGCTGTTCAAACTTTTTCCATCCCAGATAGTCTTGCCCTAAAAGCTGCAAAAATGCAACTCATGTGCACTTTGACATTTTTTAGTTGCTCCGTACCATGGAATCTTGGGATGCTCTATACTATGGAATCTTGGGATTTGTAGTTTGATGTAGCACCAGAGCTCTGACAGAGGCTGTATCTGCACTGCAAAAATAATCCAGTTTGAAACCACTTTAACTCCCATGGCTCAGAGCTAAGGAACTCTGAAATTTGAAATTTTGTAGACATTTAGCCTTCTGTCAAGAGACCTCTAGTGCTGCCACAAACTACAAATCCCAGCATTCCATAGCATTGACCCATGGCAGTTAAAGTGGTGTCAACCTGGATTATTTCTGCAGTGTAGATGCAGCTAGAGAAGACTAAATATCTCACAAGGCTACAAATCCCAGACTTCCATGGCATAGAGCCTTGGCAGTAAAAGCTGTGTCAAAGGAGCTGAACAGACTGCCAGAAATAAACCAGCTTGAGACCACTTTTAAATGTCTTGGTTCAGTACTAGGGAATCATGGGAATTGTAGTGTTTGTTTTTTTCTGACATTGAGCCTTCTCTGTCAGAATATTTTGGTGCCGCAATAAACTACAGCTCCCATGATTTCCTAGCACTGAGCCAGGGCAGTTAAAGTGGTCTCAAACTGGATTATTTCTGGCAGTCTGTTCAGGTCCAAACTACATTAATTCTGCAGTGTAGATGTAGCCCAGAGATATATTTTTATTGGGAAAAAAGACCTGAAGAAGCCTATTAACAATAAATAAATAAATAAATAAATAAATAAATAAAATTTATTTGTATCCCGCTTCTCTGTAAATTACAACCAAAATGAACAATCCTGTCCCCAATAGCCCACCCCCCTAAAATACATATTAATACAAATATTAATTCAATCCACCCTTGAACCTACTATCCCTGATAAAAGAGGACTGCCTTTCCTCTTTCTTTGCATTGTAAGGCATTTGGGCGCCAAAGTGGTGGGAACAAAAAGGGATTCATTCATTCTTCCTTCCTTCCCTCGCCACCCTTCACCCCATCTCTTCCTTTGGTTAAAAGGTGGACTCGAACTCACCACCGCCTCAGTTGGGGGCTCCTGGAAGATCTTCCTTGCTGTCTTGGAGGCCAGGACCCGGGTGGAGCTGAGCGAAGGGGGCTGCGGAATCAAAGCAAAAAAGGTTTATAAAAGGTGCCCTCTCATCATGGGAGCCAAAGTTGGGAGGTTGAGAGATAGTGCCTCCTCCTCCTCTGGTTACACAAAAGCCACACCTTGGTGAGGAATGAGCCAGCCCTCAGGGCCAGGGAGGGGCAGCCCTCTTAAAATCTCCCAGCCCTTTTTAAAAATAAAGTTTTATAGTATTATTATTATTATCATCATTATTATGGCAGAAGATCAGAGTTCGAATCCTGGTCTCCAGAGTCATAGTCCAGCACTCAAACCACACTGGCTCTCTAACTTTGGGGTTTCTTTCCTTTGTGAGATTGCTCCAGTTTGGTTTAGTAGTTTTGAGTGTTGGAATATGGCTCTGGAGACCAGGGTTCAAATCCAGGCTCAGCCATGGAAACCACTGGGTGCCCCTTGAGCAAGCCACACTCTCTCAGCCTCAGAGGATGATGGCCAAATGGCAACCC